CCATAGGAAGGGTACATCAGACCTTCCCCACACTCCCAAGAGGTCATAAACCCAATCCCTTCTATCCAAAATTCCATCTCCTGCACAAAGCATGCTTGGCTGTGAATACCTTAGACCACCAGCACCATCACAACATACATCCAAGAGATTAGCCCAGAGTTATTGACAGGCTCCAGGGTGTTTGGAACCTGGAGTTAGGTTATGAAATGTCATTTCATCCACATTTCATCACTTCTTTTGACAATCCTCTCAGAATACTAACCTCCCCTCCTCTCTCCACTAGAGCCCCATCCCCTGCTGTAGACTCCCAGCAGCCTCGGGTTGTCTCTTCCTGGCACCTTTACCCAATTTGTCACCCAGTTACCTGTAGGCTCAGACCCTCCACCCACCAGGTGTCCAATTCTATGAAGGTAGTTTTCTTGCCTTTAAAACTATGCGCTTAAAAATATTTATCAACCAGAGGGCTGGGATGTAGCTCAGTGGCAAAGCGCTTGCCTAGCAAGTGCAACGTCCTGGGTTCGATCCCCAGTACCAAAAAAGAAAAGACAAAAAAAATAGAGTTAAAAAAACCCAAACCAAAAAAAAATATTTATTAACCAGATCGACTCTCAAAGCAATCCATAGAACCTATAGATCCACTTGTAGAAATATATATATATATATATATATATATATATATAGTTTTACATTTTATGAAATACTTTTTTTTTTGGCCAGTCCTTGGGCTTGAACTCAGGGCCTGAGCACTGTCCCTGAGCTTCTTTTTTTTTTTTTGCTCAAAGCGAGGGCTCTACCACTTGAGCCACACTGCCACTTCTGGCTTTTTCTGTGTATGTGGTACTGAGGAATCGAACCCAGGGCTTCATGCATGCTAGGCAAGCACTCTACCACTAAGCCACCTTCCTTGAAATACTTTTTATAAGCCCTTTAGCAGTAAATTGTGATATTTTCTGCTGGTTAATGAGGATAAGTGTTTTAATAAACCTTCAAGACACCAATGAAATGCATCTGGGCAACTCCACCAGAAGTCTCTGGAACACCTAGCCCAGGATTTAAGGTCCATCATCTGATTTCCTATCCATCTCATGTGGTTGGTTACTGTTTTATCATGTTTTTTGTTTGTTGTCTATTTTTATTAATCTTATTGTTATTTTTATTATTATACAAAGAAGTTGCATCTAACAAAGCAGTTTATGAGCACAATGCATCTTTATTGATGTCCCTCCTTTCAACATTCTCTCCCATCTCTTCCCTACCCACCCCTTCCCTCACTCTTCTTAATTTGGTAGGATATATATTGGAACATTGTCTTCATTTCCCCCTGCTCCTGGTCTCCTCCTCATTCATCTACCCCTTTCCCTTGACCTCACCCTACTTCTTTCAAGTACTCTTTTCCTTGAGTTTTATTGTGTTGGACTTTGATTTTGGACTTCTAAGGCATTATACTATTTGAGATCTCCATTGAATATACTATGTTACAGTTAATACATTTATATACACTTCTTGTTATTTGCTGTTTAGTCTGGTTCGGTGTTTTGCAACAATCTCACTCTGTAACCTAGGCTGTCCTTGAACTTGTGATCTTTCTGCTGCAGCCTTCCAAGTGCTACATTTATAGCCTGCACCATCATGCTTAATTTAATCTGCCCTTCAAGGCATTCTTGGTCTTTCTGTGGTTTTTTCCTAAATATAATCACTCTATAAAGCAACTTTATACAACATGGTATATAAAAAGATGAAAGACAATAGTATATGATATTTAGTGACTCTTCATTTTCCTATGATACTTTCCTCCTTTCCCCTTTCTTCAAAGAAAAAAAATGTCTGTTCTCTCATTTCTCTCACCTCTTCCAGCTGTTGTTAAAATTCTCCTTAGGTGGATTGTTCTTTCAGAACACCTGCAAGTGACCCTCTTGTGAGCAGTAACTCTGCTTCAGCATCATAACTCTTCCTTGTAGTGCTTTTCCTTTATCTCACACATATACTGTATGCTTGCCCTGCTTGAAAACTGAAAAAAGGGGTGTGTGTGTGAGAGACAGACAGACAGACAGACAGACAGAGACAGAGACACAGAGACACAGACACAGAGAGAGAGCAAGAGAGAGAGAGAGAGAGAGAGAGTCTGGGTGCTTTCTCTGAGCTTTTTTGCTCTAGGTTAGTGCTCTACCATTTTGAGCCACAGCACTGCTTCTGGCTTTTAATTGGTGTTTAATTGGAGATAAAAGTCTCGCAGACTTTCCTGCCTGGACTGGCTTTGAAGTGTGATCCTCAGATCTCAACCTCTTGAGAAGCTAGGATTACAGATGTAAGTACTAGTTCACCAGTACTAGGTGAAAATAAAAATTTTAAACATGACCCTAAAAAGTGGGGAAAATAAAAAAGAAAATGAATAATTGATCATCATTGGTGTCTAGAAAAGTCTTTGTGACACTCTGCTTTTTCTCCCTTCTTCATACCAAAGCAGAGACCAAAAATAATAAAAAAATAATAACATTAATTATGAAGTATTATAATTATTGTTTAAAAGCTATAATGACTACCACGCATGTGTCATGTTCAGAGCATGTGTTTCAGTTCTCACAATGATACTGACATAGCTACCTCATTTAACATATAAAAAAACAAGGCATAAAGAGTTAAATATACCCAGGGACAAGTAATATACCACATGACAAGTAAAGTTTTAGAAATTAAAGCACTCCCAAAAGTAATCAAAGAAAACCTGAATCCAGGGGAAAATATATCATATACTTATCTGGATAGATGTAGTATCAGGGAAATACATGCCTCCTAATGTTGAAGTACACAGTTAACAAGAGTCTAGCTAATAAAAAGCAAAAAAGAAATGTTTTTCTGGGCACACATACAGTTTTAAAAATAATAGCTGGGAGCCAGGCACCAGTGGGTCATGCCTGTAATCCTGGTTCCCTAGGGGGACTGAGACATAGAGAATCATGGTTCAAAACCATCCCTTGCAGAGCAGTCTACCAGATACCATCTCCAAAACAACCAGCAAAATAACAGGCTGAAGGCTTACCTCCTCACTAGGCAAACATACCAAATGAGACCAGGGTCCTGAGTTCAACTCCAGTACTGGCAAAAATTAAATTAAATTAAAACAGCCAAGAAATTGTGGGGAAAGAAGGTTCATGAAGAAAGATTAGTTGACCAGATACTCAACATTATAAACATAAACCAATTTAAAAGTTATAGGCATCGCACATGCTTCTACAAAGCAGTGGAACAAAATAGAAATTCTAGAAAAAGATTTAAATATATATATCTATACATTAGCACATAGTAAAGACACAGGAAGAGTATAATTATTAATACATTATTTAGTTAGTTAAGAGGAATAGACTAAACCAGCATGCAAGTTGATTTTTTTTTACTAGTTCTTAGAATAGAATACAGTACTTGTAGAAGGACATACTTAAAACTGATAATAATCCCACTGAAGAAAATGGGTAGCAGGGAGATTTTCTATAAATACTCTTCAATAAAATTTGTATTTTTCTATCGTTTAAATGTATCACCTGTTTTAGCAATGTTTACATTAAAACATAGATTTAGTTTATACTTCATGGTCATGTGCCCACTTACCTGCATTACTCTCATCCACAGGGAAATTGTTTCCACTCTCAGAGACCAAAATGTCTCATCAGGAATCAAGTTGCAAACCAGTCTCTGAAGGTCACACATTATGCCTTCTAGGAAAAGTGCTTAAGCCAACCTTGTAAACCCTGATCTCTAATTAAATTTTTAACAAAATTATTGCTCAAAAATTTACATAATAACTGGATTAAGTTATTTTAAAACTATTTTAGCATAGAATCTATTTGTCTGATTCTTTAAAAAAAACTTAACAAGTTAGTATTTAGACATAAAGGAGGTGAAATTCTTGCGTCTGCCTTTCTGAATAGAAAGTACAAATTTATTCAATGCAGATGTGACTTTGTTACATTTTGCTAGAGAGGAGAAAAGAGTTCCCAAAGACAATCTGAAAAAGGAGATAGTCACAATGTGTCTTTTTCCAGAAAAACAATAAATACTGGAGAAGTCTGGCTGCCACTCAGAATTTCAGAAAGGAGAAAAATCAAAGGCAGAACATTGGGAGTAATGAGGGAAGAAGTGAACTAGCACAAATAAATCTTCCAGTAATCTTCTAAAAATTACAACCAAAATTCCTGAGTTTGGCAAGAGAGAAAGAATCTCTGTAGGGCGGGGGATGATTAGAACTTGGGCTAGCCCCTGCCATACTGAACAAGAGTCTTCTGTAGACTGAATCGTGACCATTACACCATCCTCACCACACCACTGTCGCAGGTGCCACGTGGCTCACACCTGGAATCCTAGCCATGTCAGAGGCTGAAATCTGAGGACAGAGGTTTGAAACCAGCCCCGGGGCAAGAAAAGTCCTCGAAACTTATCTCCAATTAACCACAAAAAACTAGAAGTGGAGCTGTGTCTCAAGGGATAGAGCACTAGCCTTGAGCAAAAGGGCTTAGGGACAGTACCCAGACCCAAGTTTAAGTCCCAGTATCAGCAAACACACACACACACATACACACACACACACACACACACACACACACACACGTGTGCTTTTCCCCATCCATTGTCCAGTCCAGTTATAGACAATGACATTGTTTTTCTTCATTTCCCAATAGACAGCTGAGACAAGACAAAATAGTTCAGCAAGACTTTTAGCTTCAGCGTAACAGATAACAAAGGGAATTACAAACGTAAAAATAACACAAAATTTTATATTCTGAACTTCTTGGCAATACTGGCTCCTCTGGATTCATGTTGCTCCACGTTAATTGTATCCACAGCCAGGAACTGATCTGAGAAATGTTCCTCTCTCCTTCCCAGACTAGGAAGCCCATGGTCCAATCCAGCAGTCATCTGTCTATGAAGACTTCTCCATGGAGTTGAGCCTTGCTTCTATCCCTTTACCTGAGTCTCTTCTGCAGACCTAGATAAGGAAACCAGTTCAGCTAGGTCACCCAGAAACCCCTGGCCAGCAAGAGGAGCTGCCTGAGCCTGCCTCGAAACTTAAGATTGGTGGTGATGACGACATAAGGGTGGACAGACACGCACAGGTAGAGTACACTTTGCCACAGCCAGTACCACTCGCTCTCAGAGGAGACAAAGACGATGGCATCAGTGACCAGGGACATGAATGCTAGCGCATAAAGAATAAGGAAGGAGATGAGTGAGTACAGAGCCCTGTTCTGAGGCTGGACACCGGGCTCCTGTAGGCTGTAGGCATTGTGTTGCATTCTCTGGGTGTGCCGCCTAAGAGAGATGATCAACAACAAAATTGAGACCAGAAAAAGAAAGCAAGGAATCACCAACGTGGTGAGCTTCAGAGGCATGAAATAGTGGTTTTCCAGCCCTTTGTTCCACTCATTAAAGTCCATGTCCCCAGAGAAATTGGCCATCAAAAGTGCTTGATACACCATGTGGTTGCCCCAAAAGAAGAGCAAGGTGATGATGAAGGAGATCAGGAGGGAGCCCAGCAGGAGCCGAGGCACCAATCCTGGAAGTCGCCACTTCAACCAGAGGAAAACAGGGTGGGAGAAGTTAGCAACTTTGATGCAGAACACCACACTGAGCCAAGTACCAAACCAGAAGGTGGTGGAGTTGAAGAAATCCAAGTAGAGGCCAACCAGCTGGCGGGCAGCACTCCTGGAGTACTCCACCAGGTAGAGGAAGAAGAAAAAGCTGTTCACCAGCCCGACACATTGCTGGCAGAAGCGAGAGCCGCTCAAGCCAAGGAGGATGGTGTCCCACGGCATCAGCCGGCCACATCTCAGCCACTCCCTGCTCAGCGTCAGCATGATGAAGCTGTTGGCTAGGATCCCCAGGAAACACAGCAGGACAAAGACCAGCATGAAGAAGATGGTCAGTGGTGACTGCATGTTGGCCCCTCCTCTGATCTCCTCCGGGAGCCTGGGTGTCAGGTCTCCTCCCTGCCCCCACGATGGATCCTCACACTTGTTCCTGAAGGTGTGAGGATGGCCAGGTTCTGCACAAACCACGGTCCACCCAAAAGAGAGGACGCTTGAGAAAGGCACACTCCTGGATTAGAAAAGATGCAAATGTCCCCTGGGCTCAGGTATCACTGGGCGGCCAGCTGCCCCTCATTTGCCTGCCTGCTGCCACGGTGGGCACTGTGTGGATGAAGGAGATTGTTTTAGCCTCTGTAGCTGGTTCCATCCTGCTTCTTCCATCCTGGGGCTGAGCGAACACGCCCCTTCCGTGATAGGTATGTGTGTATTCTAAGCAAATGTGAGTTGTATGTATATGTACATGTATGTGCATGTATACACAGATGTATATAAGCAGCAGGGATAAGGAGATGCCTGTGGACATCTGCCTTCACGGATTGTCCTTGTCACACCTTATTCTCTCCTCCATGAGGAACTGTCCCTTGAAAGCCACATACTATAGTCCACCTCCCATTTCACGTCTCTTCTTAAATCCTTGATGGTGTACGTGATCAGTAATATGTTCAAGTGACTCTGAGTTTCCAGTGAGAGAACTGGTTTTCTGGTGGTGGTAGGGAGAGGGCACCTGCTTCTTACTGACTGTTGATGGGAGACACCCTGGGGTCCTGGGATCTTCCCTTCATCTGCCCAAGTAGGTTACTTAAAACCACCATTTACTTCTTCAGGCCAGCAGAGAGCATCTGCTAGCAAAGTGGAGCCTTCACAGAATCGTGACAATGGCAGTGCCTTACTGGAGCCATATTCTGTTGGCCAGAAGCCAGACACAGTCTCAGTCCATATACACCTGAGAGGAGAGGGTCTCACCACACCCTACGCTAGGGTTGAGCATCACAGGGCCCGTCTTAGATGGCTCACCACACTAAGAAACTGTGGTTTTTTAGGCTTAGGTGGGCTCCGCCCATCAATACCAACATTAAAAAAGAGATTCTCTACAAGAGCATGATGCAAAGCAAAACTCTTCTGTTGCAGTATGCCTGTCAACTCACATAGTTACTATTTTCAATTCTGTGCGTATTAGACATATTAAAATCCACTACCATCCTAGCAAGTTTCAAGTATGCATTATATACTTGAGTGTGTGCGTGTGTGTGTGTGCACATGCGTGTGCACGTGTGTGTACTAGAGTTTGAACTCAGGCTCACACTCTTGTTTGGCTTTTTGCTCAGGGCTGCCATTCTACCAGGAGGCCCACCCTCACTTCCAGCTTTTTGCTAGTTAATTAGAGATAAATAGTCTCTCAGATTGTGTCTGCTCAATCTGGTTTTGAACTGTGATCCTCAGATTTCAGCCTCCTGAATAGCTCAGGTTACAGGTATGAGCCACCAGAGCCCAGCCTTTTTTTAATTGGAAAATATTTCACTACCAATATCTTTAATTGAAGTCTATTTATGGGGCATTCATCCTCCAAAATGTACTCATCGTGCCTAACTGGAACTGTATACCCCTTGGCCAACAACTCTCCATAGCCTCCTCACCCCATCCTTGGCCACCAGCATTCTATTCTGCACATATGAATCTTACTCTTTTGGATTCCACATATAACTCATCAGATCAGGAGTATTTGTCTTTTTGTGTCTGGAGTGCTTCATCTAGAATAGTGCTTTCAAGGTTCACTCAAATTTCTACAGTTGGCAGGTCTTATTTTCAAGACTGAGTACATAGATGCTTATATAATCAACATGCATTCCTACGATTGATAGGTTCTCAGATTGCTTTCCTATCCTGGCCATTGAAAATGATGCTGCAGTGAAAAGGAACAGGCAGATATCCCTTTGAAATATTGGTTCCATTTCCTTTGGGTACATATATATGACTAGTGTTCTTTGTCCCTACATAAAAGCCATGTTGAAGCTTGGTTATGATTTGTTGATATTGGAAGGTACTGAAGATTGAAAGAGGTGATTAGGTCACTTGGAAGGATAATGGTCTGCTCATGCATGTGACTTCTCACTCTTTTTTTTCTTTGTCAGTTGTGAGGCTTAAACTCAGGACCTGGGTGGTGTCTGATGCTTATCAATTTTGAGTACCTTTTCCTATATCTGTATACTCTGCATGCACCATTTTCTGGGAAATGTCTAATCAGGTCCTTTGCTCACATTTCAATTAGGTTATTTAGGGGATGATTCTGCTGCCAAGTTGCACAAGTATATTTTGGAGATGAATCCCTTAGGTGTGGTTTATGATTTTTCTCCTCCATCATAAGCTACCTTTCTACTTTGCTGATAATTTCCGGGTCAAAGATCAGTTGACTGTATCTATGGGAACTCATTTCTGAACTCTTGATTCTGTCTTATTGGTCTATCGTCTGATTTTATGCCAGTATCATATTGTTGATTCTTTGGGCTTGGTTATGAAAACTGTATTATATTCCTTTGATTTTATGTTTTCTTAATTTTTTCTCATGTTCCTTACAGCCTCACATTTCAGGTTTTACAAACTGACTTCAACAGGGTGACACTAACATAATCAACAGGGAGAGATTAACGTAAGAGTAGGTAGGACTGCAGGCTGTGTAGGATACAACAGCACTTGCTGTAGCAGGAGCAGTGGAGGTTCTATTTTTGAGAGAGCTTCATGGCTCTGGCCCTGGAACAGGTAGTCACGTGACTCTGGGTGCTCCACTAGGTGGGGATCTAGGTTGGTAAAGATTACAGAGGGATCTTAGGTGGAAAAGAACCAGCAGACATCACTGGTGGTGTCAGTGGAGTGGAGCCGGAATTAGTGGTGACGATCGGAGATGGGACGTCTTGTTCTCCTGTTCACTCCTGAGCGTGGCAGCTGAGGGCATCCCTCTTGACCTTTAGCTGTGGCAAGCAGTGAAAAGAGGTGACACAGGAAAGCTTCTTCCTGTGCCTTCCCATGTGGCCATCCTTTCATTTTGGGTTTTTTGTTTGTTTGATTGATCTTTGCTTTATTGGTTCCCCCCACCCCTACCCCACCATACACCTCTTCTGGTGACTTGTGCTTGTGCTGATAACTCTGCTTGTGACTGATTTATATCCTCTATCCAAGAATGCTTACAACACTTGAGTCCATGTAAATGTTACGTAAATAGTTGTTATGCTGTATTGTTGAGGAAATAATGACAAATCAGAGACTGCCCAAGTTCATTACAGATGCAATTATTTTCAAACTTCTATCAGCTGTTGGTTGAATCTATGAGTGCAAAACCCATGGACACAAAGGTGCTATTGTAGCTTGATTAAAATCAAGGGGTCAGCCCATTGAAATTGTGTGGATAAACATCTTTCTCACTATCATATTTCTTAAACCATGTGCCTCCATTCAGTTTCTAGCCCGTCACTCAACAAGATATTTGGTAAGCACTTGTGTGTGCTGGAACTATATATAGCAGTAGACCATAGGGTCAAGTCCTAAAGAAGTTAAGGAACAATAAGCAATCGCCCAAACAAGACATGTTCAAGTACCATTAGTTCTTTGACAAAAATGAGAGAGTTTGCTGGAGAGTACCTTAAGAGAGGACAGGCAATAGGACATAGACCAATTAGGTATGGAAATGATTTTGAGACACATTCTTAAGGGTTGAAGAAAGAAGAGCCTTTGTTTTATATAGATGGCCATATTCAATATTATCAACTTTTGTGTATCCTCTTCCATCATTCCCTCTTCAAACAATGTTTTCTCCTTATCTTAGTCCATGTGTAATGCTACAACAAAATACTTGAAACTGGGTAATTTGGTGAAAAGAACAGTTCTGGACACTGGAAATCCCAGGACAAGGTATCTATAAATTTTTTGTCTAGTGAGGACTCCTCTCTTGTTTCAAAGATGGTTTCTTTTGCTGTGTTCTCACATGATGGGAAGGCAAAAGGGGGTCTACTGATCCCTCTCAAGCCCATTTATGAGAGACTAACTTCATCCAAGATGCAGACCATTACCTAACCATCTCCTAACTAGCTCTTAATACCCTCCCATTGGAGATTGAATTTTAATACATGGGCTGTGAAGGACTATGGTACTCTCAGACAGACAACAACCAACCTTCTACTTTGGCTTAACAGTTTTCTTGTAGCAATACTTTCTTGACTGTGCTTCAACGTTTAGTCATTCTGAGACTTATCCTCAAACTCCCCAGGCAAGAATCGCATTTACCATGCTTTGACTGTGCCTCTTGAAAAGCTCCTGAGCACCTCTACTTCTACTGTTCTCTGTTGGGGGTAAGGGGTGGAGGTGCTATTCCTTGTCTATGTTAGTGAAGGTAGGGTAGGATACATAAGAGAGTCTTCCAAATATTTATCCTTTCAGTCTTTTCTTTGCTTGCCTCAGTCCTTTCATTTTATCAAAGGGTTGTAAGAGTTTTGGCTGGAACTAGTAGTGTGGCTCAAGTGGCAGAGCACCAGCTGTGAGTTCTGGAACAGGTGATGTTCATCATCTTTGAAAGTCTGGATGTAGTGAACTGGCAGAACTATCATGCCATTCAATATTTGTACCTAATGGAATTATTAATATTTCCCATTCTGTGATTTGAAAAGAAAGCTACACCAAGAAAGTTGTGCTGATGCTGGGGAAAATCTGAATATTATTCTAGTGTAAGTGAAACTCATTTGAGAGTTTTAAACAAGGGTGAAACATGACCTTTTAAATGAATTTCCTAGGCTATTATAGAGACAATAAAATAGGGACAGGCAAGGGAAGAAGACAGTAGTCAAAGATTGCTGCATTAGACTCTAGATACGTAATTGTCCCACCAAGGAAGCACTGATAATGTGCCAAGTAGTATGAGGGTGGATCCAACAGAATGTGTCATGTAGACAGGGTTCAAGGATGAAGGATGGGCTGTTTTGGCCTTAGCAATTGGCGGCATTTTATGGAGTCTTTCACTGCGGCAGGGAGGGCTGGAGAAGAATGCTTGTGGGAGGAGCTCTGTTTTGGTCATGTTGCGTTTGAGA